GTATGCAGTAGACTGGTGCCTCTGAATCTTGGTTGTGCATAGGACTTGTCTGGGGATCTTGTTAACATGCAGTCTGAGTCTACAGGCCTGAGGACTGAGATTCTGCAGTGATAGCCCTCTGTGGACTGTGGGCCACGCTGAGGAGCAAGTGCAGAGAGTTTGTTACAAGTTGGAAATGTGGTAGAACACAAGTGGTACCTAGTCACCAGAATTATCAACAAACAATCATTTAAATTCTCATTGTGATTAGCATTATAAGAGGAGTGGAAAGTGAAAGTAGCAAAGAATGTTAGGAAAGTTTATTCTGAAACCTTGGAAGTCTTTGATGATGCCTGGAGAGGTGAGTGGGCTCTAGGCAGTCCAAGAGGAGATAGAAGCAGCGAGAACAGCATAGGCAGTCAGGAGGGAGCCTAGCATGGACAAGGAACCCACAGAGGCCGCTGCTCAAGAAGTTAAGAGACAAGTGATGCAAGCCAAAGCAGGACCAAGTCAGGCAGTCCAAGGCCAGCAAGGCAACTCCATGATCATGAGAACCCAGCTCCTAGCCTGTGGCTTTCTGTCCTCTACATTCAGCCCCAAATGGCTGGTCTAGCTCTTACCATTGTGTCCACATTCCAACCAGCAGGAAAAGGAAAATCACACAAAAAAGAAAATCCTCTTCTAGCATACTTCCCAGAAGTAGTACCACCAGTTTCATTTATAACTAATGGCCACAACTTAGTCATGCATAAGAAAAACTGGAGAACACAGTTTATTCTAGGTACCTTGTGCCTTGCTAAAAGTGGCTGGATCTGAACAAGAGGAGAAAAAATATTAAAGGACAATTATCAGTTTACTCAACCTCTGTACTTGGATAACTCACAGGCATTTGGAACTGAATATGGTAAATCTGAACTCATCTTTTCCCACACCTGGTTCTCCTTTTTCCAAGGCTGCCCATGGCAGTCAGGATAAAGACCCAAAACCTTCATGTGGATTTCAGAGGCCCTCACAGAACCAGGGGGCTCACAGTCCAAAGAGTTAGACAGATGTACCAATGAGTTACTAAAGAACTGTGCCAGGAGGGTGGAAATGGCCCAGTGCCTAGGGAAGGGAGAGGAAATAGTGTTGGGCAAGGCCCCTTAGGAAGAGGAATTTTCATGGTTAACATGGAGGCTGGGAGAGAGGGGAGGGTGCCAGGCAGAGGGGAGTTTGTAGACAGAAAATGTGATATGTGAGAAAACAGAAAAGTTTAAGGTAGACATGATGAGAGATGAACCAGAGATTGGGGGAGCAGCAGAAGTGTCAAGGAGGTTCATCATAGGAAGGCTGATGCACCAGAATGTGACAAGACAAAAGGGATGACATGTGTTACGTGGACAGGAGGCATGCAAAAGAAGGGGCCAAAGTGTGTGCTTCTAGGTCCAGCTGGAATACCAGATCCTTAGGCCTGTGTCTTCTTCAAAGGCCCTTCCATCTGATAACTTCTGTGTGACTCTCTATCCAATCCACACCCTACTTCAGACCCTGAACCCCATAGGAAACAAGATTATCAGTTTCTTAAAAGTAGAGATTTTACTTTATTTTGTCTTTGTATGTTTAGCTCTTGGCACTTAGTTGGAATTAAATAAAGATATGTTGAAAAGTGAGTTAATCTCCTGCTGTGCTTGGAGGAAGGCTCAAGTATAAGCTATTCTAGATGGAAAAGGAATAAGAGTGTTGGCAGTTTCTCTGTCTCAAGCTTCCCAGGGTAGTCCATCTTGGAGGACAAGCACTGTTACAATCACAAAATACTTTTAGGGATAAATCTTGCACTTTATAGATCACTTAAAAATGTAGAAAGTTCTAGTAAATCTAGGACAATGATGAAGCTGTCCACAAAGAATCTAATTTTCCTTATCAAATCTTAGGGAGGCTTCAAATCTTAGGGAGGAAGCCAAAGGATTTAAGCCCTGTCTCTTTCTGCCCTTTTTCAGTTACATGGTAAGATCTCTGTGGCCTTGTGACTTGCTTTGATCAATGCAGTGTGCAACAAAGTGAAGGGGGCAGAAGCCTTTAAGACCAGAGTCTGACTTAGCCTGTGTGTCCCTTCCTGCTGACCAGAAGATGGTGGAGGCCTCAGTCTCTGAGAAAGGATACGTGAAGTGTTGGGAATGCTTTCATGGATGTGTAGAATGAGTGAGCAATGAACCTTTATTGTTATTATAAAAATGTTGGGCTCATTTGTTACTGTAGCATAACACAGCCCATCATGTCTAATACTGCCGCTAGCTTGGAACACCTGCCCTTCAGTTGCTACAATGATGAAATATCTAGTGACCTTGTTCATGAGTCTGTGTAGATTATGATCATTGTGATTTCCCTTTTAAGTGTCAATGTCTGTGTGTTTTCATCTATGTTCAAACATGTAGAGGGAAATGAACTTTTTAAGTGTTGATAACTTGTGTTTCAAATACATTTCTTCTAGGGAAACTTTAATGAATCATAATTTTACAACATCTACTTCCACCAAATCTAAGTCCATTGTGTGTACCTAAGTTTTGCTT